GAACAAATATTAACATTGCAGTATATACAATGTATAATTCAGCAGAGAGCAGCATAGGAAGACCAAATGTAAATTTTTGGGGCAAGAGGAGAAAAATAACCACTTTAGCTGCTACCAGCTTGATAAATCTCTGCTTCCTCCTGGAGTTGAACAGCCCACTGTCATCAAGCTGACCACAAAGGATGCTGGGAACGTTGGCGTTAGCTGCACGTTCCTCACAGTGAGCTCCACACTGCCACCCTGTGGAATTAAATGCATCCTCAACCAAAGACTCTTGAAAAGCCAATGACAATGTTGCATTGTGTCTGATATACTGCATATCTGAATTACAGAATTGTAATAGTTTTGCGAAAGCATGACTTCGTGTTTTCTCTGTTTAATGTGCACTTGCTGTGTATTTTTCAGGTGCGGGTGGTTCAGGGTAAGGAACCTGCTCACCTCATGGGTCTGTTCGGAGGGAAGCCTATGGTGGTGCACCAGGGCGGCACCTCCAGGGAAGGAGGTCAGACTGCGCCAGCCGAGACTCAGCTGTTCCAAGTGCGCTCAAACTCCACAGGGTGCACACGAGCGGTGGAGGTCAGCATCTAATATTTACTATTGGTGGGAGCTTTTAAATATTCTCTAAATATTTGCTGATCTTAACCGTTGTTGTATCTAGGTTGATGCCGTGTCCTCCAATCTGAACTCCAACGATGCCTTTGTCCTGGTGACCCCGGCTGCATCTTTCATATGGGTGGGACGAGGAGCCTGTGATACAGAGAAACGTGGGGCACAGCAGCTCTGTGATATCCTTGGAGTGTCGTCCTCCGAGCTGGGTGAAGGAGGGGAGGATGGTGAGGACTCATCTGAAATTTTCAAAGTAATATTTCACCCAGAAGTTTTAAAAAGGCCACAAAAAGAGTGAGAAGCATCATAATAGTGGTTCATGTAGCTTATGTGACAGTATTTAAATTTTTGGGTGAACTACTTTTAAGATGAATGAAAAATAAAACAAAAGAAATTAATCATTTAATTCTTTCATTTAATTTTTTTAATTATTTTATTCATATTTGATTCATGTGTGACCATTTTTTATTACTATATATATTATAAGCATTTATGATTTTGATAGACTTATTGTTTTTCAAGTGATTCTCATAATTAAGCTCATGTGAATATACATGTATGCATCACACTGCAGGTAGTTTCTGGGACACTCTGGGAGGAAAGGCTGATTACCGCACGTCCGCCAGGCTAAAGGACAAGATGAATGCCCACCCACCACAACTGTTCGCCTGCTCAAACAAAACTGGCCGTTTCATTGTGAGTAACACACCCAGATTTTTTGCCTGCCCTGATTTAAATACAGCAAGTATATTGTCAGTGTAGTATGATCAAGAGCTATTCATTATGGATGCATTGATATCCATGCAGATTGAAGAAGTTCCTGGAGAGATGACTCAAGAAGACCTGGCTACAGATGATGTCATGATCCTGGACACCTGGGATCAGGTAAACTGACTACTTTAACAGGATTGTTCTACTTTACATAGTGTTGCAATCAAGGAGATCTCATTTATAAAGGGAGAGCTGTATATTCCCATTCATATCAATGGAAGCATGTGACCTGGAAATGTTATTATATCAGTAATGGAGAAACATGCTTTTTGTCTGCATAATTGTGCAGTTACAGCATCGACTGGTAGGGATGCAGAAGCTAACCGGCCAAACCTTGAACCCTTCTGGATTCAATAAAATGTCCAAATAGTTGGTTAATCATTACATTTCTATATGCAGAGCTATTGTTAAGGCAGTTCAGTTAAATTTTGTACCATACTTGTCTTGCATGACTCTTTTATTAATGCAGTGACATGCAACTGACGTTTAATAAATTTATAATGCATCACAGAGAATTGTAAGGAATCTTGATGTGTTTTGCAGGTGTTTGTTTGGATTGGTAATGAAGCTCATGATGACGAGAAGACTGAGGCAATGACTTCAGGTAAGGCACCTTAAAACACTTTATACTTCTAATTATAATTCACTGCATAAAGTATAAAACAGTAAGTTTTACCATACTAGAGTAAACAGTGTATTACCATACATACTAGTATGCATTTTTTTTTCTTTGTGTAGAACACTCAAATTACCTACTACATCCCTCATGTGAAGTACACAACAAATCATTGCATGGTATACTGTATCCCACAATGCAACTCTTGTTTATCCAAGTGATTTTTAATATTTATTTTTGACAAAACTGACAATATTTATTTAGGATAAAACAGAACAAAACAAAACAATAAAATGTATTTAGATTTTTTAAAATTTTGTTCCAAAATGATAACTGGGTGCCACTTATATACAGGTGCATCTCAATAAATTAGAATGTCGTGGAAAAGTTCATTTATTTCAGTAATTCAACTCAAATTGTGAAACTCGTGTATTAAATAAATTCAATGCACACAGACTGAAGTAGTTTAAGTCTTTGGTTCTTTTAATTGTGATGATTTTGGCTCACATTTAACAAAAACCCACCAATTCACTATCTCAACAAATTAGAATACTTCATAAGACCAATAAAAAAAACATTTTTAGTGAATTGTTGGCCTTCTGGAAAGTATGTTCATTTACTGTACATGTACTCAATACTTGGTAGGGGCTCCTTTTGCTTTAATTACTGCCTCAATTCGGCGTGGCATGGAGGTGATCAGTTTGTGGCACTTTTCCACGACATTCTAATTTATTGAGATGCACCTGTACTAGACAACCAAAACATATTTTCATTTATAAAATCATTCTAATATGCTGTTTTGGTGCTCAAGGAAATTAATCATATGATCAGTTGAAAAGAGTTTAGCTGTTTAATATTTTTGTGGAAACCAACATACACTTTTTTCATAATTCTTTGCTGAATAGAAAATTCAAAAGAACAGCATTTATTTGGAATCTGTTAATGCATGTCATGACAGATTTTTTCAGTTAATATTGTCTGTGGTCCATGCTACAGTCCAGTAGGTGGCGATAATGTTTGCAAGATAGAAAGGAAGATAGAAACTTGAGCATATTTTGAAATCCCAAAACACTTTATAATGTGTCCTTTTATGAATCCCATATTAAACTTCCTTTTCTCTCTCTCCAGCTGCCCGATACATTGAGACGGACCCAGCCAACCGTGACCCACGTACACCCATCGTGAAGATTAAACAAGGCTTTGAGCCGCCCACATTCACAGGCTGGTTCCTGGGCTGGGACCACGACTACTGGAGCACTGACCCCCTGGAGCGGGCCATGGCGGAGCTGGAGATCTGAACATTGAGCTGTCACCCCTGACCTTTAAACCCCACTACCTTACTGCAAGTTGATCAAAGTTGCCCTTAGATTCATATAAGATGCCAATTTGATGCTTATGAAGGTTTAATCATGGATTCAAAAACCAAAGCTGCTCCTGGGTCAGTATCAAAAGGCAATTTTTAAACTGCCCTGAGCTTTAGTCACCAAACATAAGGCAACTCCATTCATTTAACTACTTTTTACTTCTGTATTTAAGTGTTTTCGTTCTGTGCTCAACAGTTTTTACTCTTGTAAAGCTTTTAGATTGTTGTGCTTGGTCTGCACACCTTATGTTGCTGAAAGGATATCTTTGTCAAAATCAGTCAGGTATCTTTTTGCCTTCTTTTTCTATAAATCTTTTTAATGTGACCAGTATCAAGAGTTTTACTATAAATAATACTTTAGTGTTTTTAATTAATATTTTTATGATGAGCAATGCTTATGATGCCACCAAAGATATGAGGCATTTCCACCTTGTCGCTATTCCATCTGACACTCAGGAGTTCAGTGATTGGCTGTGTGCTGAATAGAATACTAGCATACTACTCATACTGTTCTGTAAGTGTATTATAGTGTATATACAGTATATATTTATATACATGAAATACCTAGATAACCTTCTACATTTGCCAAAATGTGCAGTATACGACATAGCATGCTCTGTTGAACATTTCATCCCAAAGTGTTCCACAATTGTTGTTAACTAAAAAGAAATAGTTGTAAATGTAAATAAAGCTAAAATAAACTATAAATAATGGATGAAGAACTTAAACTAAATGAAAATCTGAAATGTTGCTTTGGCAACTGAAAGAAAGTTGAAGTTGAAGCACAAAAATGAACTGGAAATAACTCAAACTAAAATTTAAATAAATAAAAACAACAGCAAAGAATAAAAATTGCAAAAGCACATAACACAATTACTAAAATGAAAACTGAAAATATAAAAGAAAATTCAACATAACAATAAAAAACTATAGTAGTATATAGTACTATAACGCACTTGAGCATTCAGGTGGTAATATCAATATCAGTTATATCAACCACGATTTTTAATGACTGATTGCTAAATCAGACTGCCAAATGTTAACACAAAACTGGCTTAAAAATGTAAAAACTTAATACATTTAAAATGGCTATCATTTAATGTGTATTGTGTGACAACAACATAACATGGTTTAAAACTCTTATTGTGAAGTAATACCCATTTCACATTTTTAATTAGGCAGTATACTGTACATACTGAGCAGTATCCAGTTAGTAAGCTAGTATTCATTCCAAACACAGCCATGGTCCGTGTGAGCAATGACAATTATTATTATTATTATTTTTAAGACTATTAAATCCATTACTGGAGTTTTAAAGGAGCATGTCTTGTTAGAGGCCTAGAGAAGCAGAGGCCTTATTATTCTTACATATGCAATGGTAAGACTGAATGGATGTGCAGCAGAAGGTCTGCTGTTTATTTCTAGGGGCTGGTTTAGATAACTGTTAACATATGGGTCAATCAACTGCCTGAAGATCAGCTAAAATGCTATAACTTATAGTGCAGAGGTGAGTTGCCTTTGATACTTGCTGAAGACTCGTATAGCAACTTATTCATAAGGGTTATTCCAGATACCTCTGCTTTTGCAAATCCATCTATACCTGAAATAAAAAATAAAATAACAATTTGCCAGTTTTCCTACTTATACAATAAAGAACCACAACCCCGAAAGGTTTCAAGAGTGTTCTTCAAAGACTGATTTATGCATCATATAGCAGTCTGGAAAATAATGAGGTAAATGTACTTATACGTCATGAGAAAGATTATATTACACATTATGATTTACTAAAGGGAATGGGACAGTCACACATCAAAAATATATGATATTCAAACAAAAAAAGTATTACAATGTACATAAAAGTGAGTTGGACAAAACAACAGATGTGATATTCAGTTAAATGAGAGAATAAACAATTACATATAGAACTGTAATAGACTGATACATGATGAAAATACAAATATTTGGAAATGTTGTTGAAATCTTAAACAGTCCTAAGCAGCACTGACAGTAATTTCACATCTTTTGACAAGTCTGTAATTCCATCCTCTGATATTTGAAGCAGCAAATAGTCTTTAAAAGCACAAACATTGACCTCTATAGCCTTAATTTGTTTTCAGCTGCAATCTGATGTAAAATATTACATTACATGTATGTAAATGTCTGGTAGATAAAATAGTAAGATAGAGGAATTTATAAATCAAGTGATAAAATATTAATGTGACATTAAATGGATGAATAAATGCATTGTGGTTTTAAAAATCAACCATCATGTAAAGCTATAAATATTAATTCAGTAATTGAAATGGATATGGCTTAAGGCTTTTATATTGACAGTCAACATTAATAAAGGTTTAAGAAAGCAAGAAAAACTGGTAGGCACATTAAGCACTGCTCTCAGTTCCATGTTTTGACACCTGATACTATCTAAATATTCCTTTAGATGGTTTATTATCTATTTGACAATCAAGGTTAGGTTACATGTGCCTGAAACACACATGCACTCATATGACCAGAAGATGTTCCAAAAAGCTCTCAATTTGTAAGTCCAAATTTTGGTATGGTAAGTATGAAAAAAAGTTGAAAAGGCAACAATGTGATTTTTTTGTTCAAGGGCAGGAAATTATTTAAAATTGGAATCTTATTTAGCAAATATTTTATGACTTTAATATTGTTTGGTTGTATCAGATTTCCTTCAGACAGAGTGAACAGGTCTTTACTAGGAACATCTACAGGTCAGAGTGTGTATGTGGTGTATGTACAGTAGGGTCCAAAAGTGAGACCACTAGTGAAAACATTTATATTGTGCATGTTTCTAATATAGTATACTATTATAATAACAATTTGAGTGGTTAAAATTAAAAAATGTACATGGGTTTCAGGATTTACCTGTATTTCATGTTAACAACAGCAGCACTCAAGCTGCATGAACTCCACAAATTTGTGTTAAACTTGATGCTCATGTTCTCCAGCATGATTTGAGATGATCCAAAGAGCATCTTGAACATCTGACCATCTGTACAGAGTCACATGATCACCAATTTTCTCTTTTTTAATTAGTGACTTGCAAACACAACCTCAAATACTTCATCTTCATTTCACGTAATGATGTTTCTTAGATTTAAGTTTTCCAACAATGAATACCAGAATTCAATGTGGTCTCAGACTTCTGGACCCGGCTGCACCGGGTATACTCACATGAGTGCATGTTATATAACGTCAGTCTGTTCATTACTGCATGGATGCATCTGTATGTATGTATGTGTGCGTGTGTGTAGGTTGCTTCACGTGGCTCTTAGTTCAGTGCTTCATGAAGGACTGCATCATGTCAATGGGCAGAGGGAAAATGATGGTGGAGTTCTTCTCGGCTGCGATGGTGTTAAGGGTCTGGAGGTAGCGCAGCTGCAAAGCAGAGGGGGACTCTGCGATCACCAGAGATGCCTCCTTCAGTGCTCGTGACGCATTCATTTCTCCCTCAGCAGCTATCACCTACAGACAGCAGAGAGGCGGTGTGGAAAAAAAAAAAAAGCATGTGGTCTCGATTTAGCAAACCTTGTATACTGCACAAAACTTCCACCCCTTAACCCAGTTTCAAATTGACACCCACTCTTTGCCCTGAAGTCATACTGTGAGTTATCTCATCGTTCCTTCGAAGCAACAGTTCACCCAAAAATACAAATTTTCTGAAAATGTACTCCTCCTCAGGCCATCCAAGATGTAGATGAGTTTGTTTCTTCATTAGAACAGAATTGGAGTAATTTAGTATTAGTTGCTCACCAGTGGATCCACTGCATTGAATGGGTGCCGTCAGAATGAGAGTCCAGACAGCTGATAAAAACATCACAATAATCCACATGACTCCACCCCAATAATTAACCTCTTGTGAAGTGAAAAGCTGTGTGTTTATAAGAAACAAATCCATTATTAAGACACTTTTACATACTGGTAAAAAATGTATAGCCTGAATGCACTGTAAGTCGCTTTGGATAAAAGCGTCTGCTAAATGCATAAATTAATTAAATTAAAATTAATTAATTAATTAAATTAATTTAAATTAATAAATAACTTTTCCTCTTTCCATCCTCGATCCATAATATTGCTTTCTCCAGTGGAAAAAGTAATCTTGTCTGAATCAGGAGAAAAATACGCACTGATCAAGTATTGTTTACAAGTAAAAACAGTCCAAAAAAAGTTCTAAACATATCTATAACATAAAACAGGAAATGGACGTTTTCATTGGAGGAAGCATTATCTTAGATTACGGACTTTAAAGGGGTGGTTGATTAATATTTCTCTTTTTTAACTTTAGTTAGTGTGTAATGTTGCTGTTAAAGCATAAACAACTTCTGCAAAGTTACGAAGCTCAAAGTTCAGTGCAAAGGGAGATATTTTCTTATAAAAAAAACAGCTGTTCAACGTACAACGTGCTTCATCCTGGGTTTGTGACATCACTAACCATAAAATTTACATAAACCCGCCCCCGGGAACACGCAACAAAGGGGGCGAGGCCATGTTGGGTTGCTTTAGAGAAGAGGAAGAGTTGTGGTAGTTGTGGTTGATGCCATCATGTCGAAACACTGTTATTTTCACCCCGATTGCAGGGGCTCTTTGTTGGTTAAAATTTTAAAAATTTATGAAGGACTGCTTCCTCAATCTACGCACGTTCAATGCCGGTACACTAGAAAAAAAACAAACGAATCATGAACACGTTACACTGCACCCCATAAACACAATCAAGCCTTCGAAAAAAGCTGATCAACCACCCCTTTAAAGTTAAAATGCCTTAATGATGGATTTGCTTCTTACTCACTGAAGCCATGTAGATTACTTGTGGATTATTGTGATGCTTTTATCAGCTGTTTGGACTCTCATTCTGATGGCACTCATTCACTGCAGAGGATCCATTAGTGATGTAATGTTAAAATCTATCTATCTATCTATCTATGGCCTGAGGGCGAGAAAATATTCATAAATATTATTTGTGGGTGAAATCATTCCTTTAAGCAACTTGCCTGGTTTTGCTTTATGACCGAGAGTATACATTGCACAAGTTTTTATCAAATAAATGTTCTTAAAATCAGTACTTATTTTTTCCCACAAAAATTATTTAAAGACAAAATGTGTACAATTATAACAATTTTAAATGCACACATTTTGAAATGTTTCTAAATGTCTCTTGATGGTTTCACAAAACAAATAGGCCTAGTGGTTGGAATAAACCACATTTTTGTTTTACTGCAAGTAAACCTGTGTTTGAAGGGATAGTTCAACCAAAAAAGAAAATTCTGTCATCATTTACTCAGCCTCAAGTTTTTCCAATTATTTTTGTCCATACTATGGAACTGTTTGGTAACCAAATTCTTCTAAATGTCTTCTTCTGTGCTCAACAGAAGAAATAAACTCATACAGGTGTGGAATAATAATTTGAGGGTGAGTAAATGATGACAGAATTTTCATTTTCTGGTGAACTATCACTTTATTATAGTTTGGCTCAGGTTTATGGTTTTTGTTTTTGGTTTTTGAGGATCAAGTGTTGCCACACAACCTCTCTATACTGGCATCTGGCTAATATTGCTGTCTGAATATTTTTACCAAGTGACGGATGAATTTGTGCCAAAATACCGCAGAGTTTGACTAAAGGCACAGCCTTTGACGTCATCCGAGTTCCAATGCTATACGTTACTTCTTTTAAAAGTGTCTGCTAAACACCTACTATACTTATATAGTTGATGCTGAGAGGTTTAAACTTTTAAATAACCAGGACAGTGGTTTCCCACTTCTCTCTGTGTGGCTGATGTAGGCTGGGGCATTGATTTGAAGAAAACATTCTTTTTGTATCTGAGCTAAGCATGGAAGAATAATTGTGCACCAAAAATAAAATCATTAAAACTTCCTTTCCCATGTTCTTCTGAGGGCATGTGCTCTCATGAACATTTTTAAGGAGGGCAATTCAACTGCACAGGGAAGAAGTTAACCAGGCATACAGCTGGAAATGTAAAAATAAAGGCTCTCACATAAATAAACAGACAAATTAGTGGGAAATACACACAGAAATAGGAAAGGAGTTGTCACTTCCGCTTCCTATGAGAGTATTGCGGTGGTCTTGCCTCAGAGCAGAGAACGCTTGCATTCAGCTCCCACACATTCCAATAATTTGGTCTACAGTATGTACATGCATGTACATGAGAGGATGATTAATATGTGTTTGCCAGCAAAATCTTATCAAATATAAATATAATCATCAGTCCACATAATGAACATTATCCAAGAGTATCCTGTGTGTGTGTGTGTGTGTAATAAGGAAAAATAATGCACTAGACTTTTAGTGTTCTGACCTATATATATATATATATATATATATTCTGAAATATTAATACAATTTTTTATTTTTTAATATATTTTAATACGTTATTCATTCCTGTGATGGCAGAGCTGAATTTTCAGCAGCCATTACTCCAGTCTTCAGTGTCACATGATCCTTCAAAAATCATCCTAATATGTTGATTTGGTGCTCAAGAAACATTCCTTACTATTGTCAATGTTGAAAACAGTTGTGCTGCTTAATATTGTTGTGGAAGCTGTGATACATTTTAAAAAGTATAAAGTTCAACAGAGCATTTATTTCAACATTAACGACATTAATGTTATAAATGTCTTTATTGTCATTTTTGATCAACTGAATGTGTCTTTGCTCAATAAAAGTATTAATTTATTTTAAAAAACGTAAAACTTATCCCAAACTTTGAAATGGTAGTTTATACATAGTAAGCACACAAAATTATATTTATATGTGAATTATATATTATTTTCCATCATTTTTATTTCTTAATTAATAATAAAATATTTTATAAATGTGTACATTTTACAAGTCTTTCTAAGATTACAAATAGTGTTTTTAAAAAGTATTTGGACATTTGTAATGCAAGTTTTTGCACTAGATAATTCCAATTTTACTCTTTAAGTCCACTTATAATGTTAGGCAAGGCATTAAAAACAGTCCTGATTTGGTTTTGTTTAATAATTTTCCATCCTCTTTCTAAATTAATCTGTTTACTTTTAACACCTGAGACATCTGTTATGATTGTCTAACAACTTTCCATGTGAAATGCGTAATAGCGCCACTTACTAAATATCAAAAGCATGTTACCTTAGCTCTGGCCTCTCTGGTTGCTTCAGCCTCAGCCGCCATGGCCCTCTGGAGCTGCTGGGGCAGTTTGACGTCCTTAATCTCCACACGTTCCACTTTAATACCCCAGTCATCTGTGGCATCATCTAAAGTGGACTAAAGAAAAAAACAGAGTCAAGTCTAAACACTTCTTCTCAGAGATTCCTCATGCCTCGTGCTCCTCATGAATGAAGCACTGTGCCAAGTGTGCCTGTCATGAAGAATGTCCCCCATAGTTTTTTAAAGGATGTCAGATGGAATGAGCGAACGGCGGGCCACGTGCGAACTGAGGAAGGTGCTAGCAGTGCAGTCGAGCTGGATAAGTCAGCGTCTCGGCTGAGATACAGTGAATGCACTGCCTGAAGTTGTGGAATGTCTGCTTGAATCAGGTCTAGTCCAAACCAATTCAATGAGACAATAAGCTCTATTTTTTATTTTTGGGTGATCTATTTCTTTAAAAGTTTAACTCTTGTTTTGTATTGTAAAGTTTGTATGTGTTGTGTAGTGTAGTGTGTTACCTGCATACTGTGGGCGATTTCCTCCCGGTCAGACAGGATCTCTGCCAGGTTCTTTGTACCCAGCACGTTCCTCAGGGTGGTCTGTGCCAACAGACGAGTGGCTGCATCAGCATTTGTGATGTTGGCAACTGCCAGCGTTGCGTTTTGTACGCGGTAGTAGACTACACCATCTACACTCACTGTCACAGAGTCCTTTGTCAGCACCTGTGACGATGAATGCACACAGACTATTTAATCAAAAACATCATCTGGGTGATATTCTGGGAAAAAACAATGAAACAACCACAAAACTACACTATTTTGGTATAATTTTGGTATAATTAAGATTTTTTTAAATGTTTTGAAAGATGTCTCTCATGCTCACAAGGTCTGCATTTATTTGACCAAAAACACAGTAAAAAAAAAAAAAAAAAAATTACCAATTTATAATAACGGTTTTCTATTTGAATTTTTATTATTCCTGTGATGGCAAAGCTGAATTTTAAGCAGCCATTACTCCAGTCTTTAGTGCCGCATGATCCTTCAAAAATCATTCTTATATCCTGATTTGGTGCATATCAGTACTTTGAAACATTTCTTACTCTTATCAATGTTGAAAACAGTTGCGCTGCTTAATATTTTTGTGGAAACTGTACACTACCATTAAAATGTTTGGGCTAAGCAAGTTTTAAAAAGAAAAAAAAAATTAATTAATACTTTTAATCGGAAAGGATGCATTAAACTGATCACGAGTGACAGTAAAGTCATTTAATGTTACAAAAGATTTCTATTTCTAATAAATGCTTTTCTTTTGAACTTTCTATTAATCAAAGAATCTTGATGTATAACAGTTTCCACAAAAATCTTAAGAATATTTTCAAAATTGATAATAATAAGAAACTTTATTAAAAAGTGAGCACCACTAATACTTGATAATAATTAAGCACCAATTCAGCATTTCAGAATGATTGCTGAAGAAACATATGACACTGAAGACTGGCTGCTGAAAATTCAGCTTTGCTGTCACAGTCATAAATTATATTTTAAAATATATTAAAACAGAAAACATTTATTTTAAATTAAAATAATATTTCACAATATAACAGTTTTTACTGTATTTTTGAACAAATAAATGCAGCCTCGGTGAGCAACTTCTCTCTCAAAAAAAAATTCAAAACTCTTAAAGACGATTATCTTTAAAGGTAAAGTATGTAATTTCTGCAGCAATAGTGGTACAACATGGAACTGCAAACATAATTTCAGCTCCCCAAAAACTCCAACCACCTGTTTGCACTTTTTAGAATGTCATCATAAATTATTTGCTTATAGTCACTGAACATTAAACTGTGTGGTAAATGTATTAACACTGTAATGATGACATGCTTCACCTTTATACTGATGCTGTTCATGTGATAAAACAGAGGCTGAAGTTGAGGATTAGTGTTTTGTGTGTGTGATCTCACCTCCTGAGGGGGGATATCAAAGGTGATGGTGCGCATATCCACATTGATAAAGCTGTCCGTGCATGGCAAGATGAAGAAAAGACCTGTGTGAGACAACACACACACACACACACACACAAACACAACAAAAGATTTAACAGCAGCAGACACTCAGAGCATCATAATCATTAACTCTCAGAAACAGGGCTGATCTTCAATGAGTGCACAACTGGCAATCTACCAAATTCCATTCTCACTGCCAACTGGACCTAGCTGACTGCATTCACGAGTATAGTGAATGATTGCACTGACATCTGCTTTGATGCTTTACAGTACAGTAGTTTCATCAGTTTATAGGACTAGTTTTTTAGTGAATGATAAAAAACTAAATACATTTTGTAAAATAGTTGCATAAAATAAAATATATTATGATTTGAATATTTTTGAAAGAAGTCTCTTATGTTCACCAAGACTTCATGTATTTGATTTAAAATCAGATAAAATAAAAAACACTAAATTTACGATGTATTATTAGAATTTAATATATATATATATATATTTTAAAGAATTCATTAAAAAATAATAAAAAATTAATAGAAAGGTTTTTTTTATTTTATTCGAAATATACATTTGAAATATACATTTTTTGTATCAATGTAAAATCTTTTATTGTTGCTTTTGATTAATTTAATGCATGAATAAAAGCATTAATTTCTTAAAAACATATATGTATGTATGTATGTATATATATATATTAGGGCTGGACAATAATTCAATATCTATGTATCGCGATATAATTTTTTTCAATAACGGTGATATGATTTTTAAACA